GCAAGACATCTGGATTGCCATTGAAGCCTCTATTAATCGGGAGAACCTTGTGGGAATTTTCCCAGATGAGAACGAGGTGCGGATGATGAGTTGGAGAGGGGGGCAAAATAACCAGTGGGGATAATTATTGAGGATTATTCACTAGACATAAGAGCATTAATTTAAGATTCATAGAAGAACATTCACCAAATTATGTCGAGGAGAGTCTGGGGCAGCGAAGGTTTGCTGGATCAGGAAGCCTGAGCAATTATGGCTTGGTTTTGGGGGGCGCTTTTTTGGGTGTTCCAGCAGACCTTTCTGGAAGAATTTATTTTTATCTTTCAGTTGTAAAGCGAGGCGCTCTAGACAGGATGGAAGGACGTTAACTGAGCTCGGAAGATTTCTTCTCGTCTCAGCTCAAAGGATCCAGAGATTGTCACATCACACCGGCCTGGACGGTGCCATGCTAGGTAAGAAACTTCCTCCGTTTGTTTACTTTGTGTTGAGCCCCAGAGAAGGAACTTCAGAAGGGAAGCAGACTCTGGGCTGGACGCAAGAGGTCTCTCCTGACCACGAAAGCCGAGTCTGGTGGGGGCTGGCCAGAAGCCCTGAGTTCTGCCTGGTTCTCTCTGCCCCAGAATAGCTTCTTGGCACAGGGGAAGCCTAAGCTCCACCTTGCGGCCTCGTTACCCTGTCGGAGGGAACTTTGACCATCCACAAGTTCCCAGCTTTCTTCCTGCACGGAGCGGCACCCGCTGGGCAAACAGCCGTGGTAGAAGAACTTCCTGGGCCTGTGAGAAGGTTTGGTCTCTCGCTTGGCTTCTTTGGGGTTGTGAGAAGGAAATTATGGCAAAGCGGCACCCGGGGAAATGTAGCTGCTTGGCGGTTGTGGTTCTGCAGAAACAGACTTCGGAGGTCTGGCAGAGATAGGTGCTGGCCTGCTGGGCTGAGAGAAGAGGCAAAGCCCTTTTGCTGGGATTGGTAAAATCTAGCTTTTTCCCAGGAGAGGCTCGGCAGCTCTGAAGATTTTCCGATCTTCTGCATTTATTGCAAATCACTGCAGAAAGAATGTGGGTTGAAGGTGGAGAGAAAAACTGCAGGGGGTGGCCCTCCTCCCCCTGAAAGCTTAGAGCAGGAGTGGGCAACCTGCCGTGTCCCCCCACCCACCCACAGGTCTCCTGCCTGGCCTGGATGTGGCCAGGGACGCCAGGATCTCGCTGGAGGGGCTGTAATTTGCAGCAATCGGGGGGACTGGAGAGGTCCAAGGGGCAAAGAAACACACAGGACCCATTTTACCACCCCACCCCAAAGAGAAACATTCAAAGTTGTTCTTTGGGACTGGTTATTTTTAAGGTGCAAGACGGTCTCCCTTCTGCCCCCTCCAGACTCTGCCATGCGTGTCGCCGTGATCGGAGCTGGGGTGATAGGACTGTCCACAGCCCTTTGCATCCATGACCGCTGGCGTTCTGCTGACCGGCCGCTGCAGGTGGAGATCTACGCGGATGAATTCAGCCCCGGCACAACCAGCGATGGGGCCGCCGGCCTTTGGCAGCCCTACCTGTATGACAAAGGAAACACTCAAGAAACGTAAGAGCAAAGGGCCAGCTCCCCTTGTGAAGGGCGGCTGAGTTCCTCCCGCGCCTTTCAGATGACCAGGGGCTGAAGCCCACCCGCCTGGGAGCATGCCGGCTAGGGAATTCTGGGAGTTGAAGCCCACCCATCTTCAAGGGGCAAAGGGTCAAACCCTTCTTTGGTTTTTCAGGGATTCTTCGTTGAAAAGTAAAGTGCACAGCGGATTAAATGTGAAGGGAAACTTATAAACAATATTAAGTGGTGACTTTGTTCCCCTTTGCCCTGGGAAAAAATTTACAATCAACCTGCTGACTGAGGAGGATCTGTGCCAACGTTCACACGTGGTTCACAACCACTGCCCCAAATGCTTCCCAGTCTTTCCAGCTGCCAACAATTTTTTTCTCTTGCAGTTTCCTACGGCTCAGATTGAAGGAAGATGTCTGATCCTCTCTTCTTCAATATTGCAGGATCTGGAACAAAGAGACTTTCGACTATCTGCTCCAACAGGTTAATTCACCAGAAGCCAAGGAGATGGGGCTCTTTCTGCTCTCTGGATACAACCTCTTCCGACAACCGGTTGCCGTAAGTGCCGTAAAAATATCTGAGCTACTTTCTCAATGACAGCGTGTTCCTCTTAGGAAGGCTGGAGCAAAGTGTAAAGACAGGGATGGGAGACGCACCGGAGTTTTGCTTTCAAGGATTTTTGATCCCCCTTCCTTCCCACCATGTAATGCAAGGAGCAAAGAGGTTTCCAGCCGGTAGGAAAATAAATTCAGGAGCTTTGCAGGCAGAGAGTTCTCAATTGTGGGGCCGTGTTGCCAAGACTTCTGGCCCAAGATTTGTTTATTTTGCATTTGTGTGAGATTCTATTTCTCCCTCGTCCCATCTGTGCGTCTTTCTCTGCAGGAGCCATCATGGAAACATATTGTCTTGGGATTTAGGAAATTGTCCCAGAAGGAGCTGGAGCTGTTCCCCGGCTACAGGTATTAGACGGCCTCTCCTCTTTGGATTTGGGAACTTTTTGTGGACCAGTGTTTCTCAGCCTCTGAAGATGGGTGGACTTCCACTCTGAGAATTTGTATCCATATTTTTTTGTTTTTGTCTTCTTTTCCCCTAATTTCAGCTATGGCTGGTTCAACACGGCCCTGATCTTGGAAGGCAAAAGCTATCTCGCCTGGCTTACAGACCAGTATGTATGAGCCTTCTTTTTCCTGCTGTCTACGTTGGGCAACTCTCTGAGTTTTAGGTAGTTTGGTTTTTATTCTCCTGGTGACAGAGCTAGGAAAGCTGGTTGGGACCTTTGATGAAATCTTTCACCCATGTGGCGGCCTTGAAAGAGGAATTGGAATCCTGGTCATTCAGCTAATAATGACTAGCTATCCTCAATTAATACCTTGAGAATACTAGTTGTGGATGGAGAAAAGGTAGAACAGTTGCCTTTAAGCCCTGCTCCCCCCCCCACCCCCAAAGCTCAGAGCGTGCCTGTCAGGTGTGCCTGTCAAACTCTTCTGCTGACAATCCTCCATTGCTCTTAAAAGGTTGACCTCAAGGAGGGTCCAGTTCTTCCATCGGAAAATCAGGTCCTTCCAGGAGGTGAGTTGGAACGTATGTGGAGCTGGCCAGGAATGGTGGAAACTGAAATCCAGCACATCTGGAAGGCACCAAGTTGAGAAGATCGCTCTAGGCCAGTGTTTCTCAGCTTGGGCAACTTAAAGATGTGTAGACTTCAACTCCCAGAATCCTGGGAATTGAAGTCCATACATCTCCCAAGTTGTCCAGTTTGACAGATGGGTGGGGTGGGGTGGGGGGTCCCTTGTATTTCTGCAAGGCAAGAGGGGGATTGACTCCCTTACTCTCTTCTGGCAGCTGGCAGCTGAAGGAGTGGACGTGGTTGTCAACTGTACCGGGATCCGTGCCGGAGAGCTACAGAGTGACCCTGAGCTGCGTCCAGGCCGAGGACAGGTTATCAAGGTGAGGCCTGGGGGAGTTGGTCAGCAGGGCTGGTGGAGGCAAGCTGGGACATATTCTAGTGGGACAGCCCACTCGGACATTGGACGTTGAGGAAGGCTGGTCTGAACCTTCCCACAAGGCCCTCAACCCTAGAGATAAACAGGCAGGGAGAGGCATGTGTCGCTTGCTGGATGGAGATGTGCAGCTCTGTTAGTTGTTTGAATTAATAAATACACGCCTCTGATGACCTGCTGCTTGTCACAGCAAACCAGGAGAAAGCAGAGAAATTGTTTCTTCGGGCTGTGCATTTGCAGGCTAAACCAGCGCTCCATCTGGCTCCTTCCTGACCTTCATGCTTATTCTGGACCTCTAGGTTGATGCCCCCTGGGTGAAGCACTTCATCCTCACCCATGACCTCGAAGCTGGCATCTACAAGGAGCCCTACATCATCCCTGGGTAAGGAAAATGCAGTGGAGAGTGGCAGAGTTATCAAGGTGGATCCAGCCATGGTGGGAAGTGGACCAAGAGATGTTCCAGGGATCAAGTCTTCTCCCTCTGTTGGAATCCGGTGATCCAGTATTCTTGAGATTGAAGGGAGGTTCCCACCATCTTCTGCTGATATCCTTCCATGAGAAGCGAACACAGTTTGACCCCAAACTTCCTCTAACTTGGTGGTTTCCAGTGGGTGGGACTCTGGCTGTGCTGGTTCAGCCGGATGAGAGCCGTAACCTAACACACCTGGAGGACAACAGACTGAGGAAGGAGGCCCATCTTGAAGGTTGGAGGAGGTCAGATCCTCCATCCCACCTCTTAGCACTCTTCTGACTTAAAATAGTTCAAGACTGACTGTTCCTCCCTTCTCCGCCCTTTGCAGGAGCCGTGTAGTGACCTTGGGGGGCATATTTCAGCTGGGGAACTGGAGTACAAAGAACAATCCCGAGGACCATAGAAACATCTGGGAAGGATGCTGCAAGTTGTTGCCCAGCCTCCAGGTAGATCATCTCACCCCAGACGGGCCAAGGCTGTCGTGAGAAACTCCTGCGCTCTCCCCATTTCCCTAGGCCCGGAAGGAAGTCCCCATGGCAGCTCCTCCAGGGTTTTTGGTGCCCCACAGCCTGAGGGAGCATTGGGGAAGAATCTATGGGGTCTGCCTCTGAGAATAAGCTGCTGAACGTAATTCTTCCAGAAAGCCAAGATAGTCGAAGAATGGAGTGGTTTACGCCCATCGCGCACTAAAGTCCGGCTGGAACACGAGACCATTCGCCATGGGACGCTCCGATGCGAGGTAGCCGTTTTTCTGACTGAAGAGGATTCCAGGAGTTGTTCCAGATTCAGAGTCCTGCATCTCATCTGCTTCTGGGCTTTGAAGTTCCCATTCTTTCTTTTCCAGGTGATTCACAATTACGGTCACGGAGGTTTTGGGCTCACCATTCACTGGGGGTGTGCCATGGAAGCAGCCAAACTCTTTGGGAAGATCCTAGAAGGCCAGAAGTTGACCAAGCCACCTCGGGCCAACCTTTGAACAAGGGCAAAGGTGTAGGACACCCGTCTGTGTCGATCTATTTTTCTTCTTTCCATCTCACAAGGGGGAACTAATCTTGCCGAATTTGGAAGTCCAGTTCCTTAAGACTATTTATAACTGAGGCCCTCACTTTGAATGTCTACACAGGGTAAATAAGACTTTACTCTGGGGTTAGTAAGGCGTCCCAAGGTTTGTGGAGCTGTTCCATTTTTCTTTTATCTTGATTTGGGTTTTTGGTACAAAAAACACCCTCGTGGATGTTGGGTTTTATTCATAGGGAGGAGATGAACAAATGTGTTCAAGTAGAGGGCAAACAACCATCTGAAATAGTTATTTTTGGATTTTTTCTCAAGGCAGGAGGCTGCCCCTCCCCTTCCACTCTGTGGGTTCATTCAACTTTCTCTTACGCTTTTTCTTCTCAAATAACAACTACATCTGCTTCCCGATCCATGTTCTCTTTGCTTCTGGTTTCTAGTGGAGTTGTCCTCTATTAAAACTTACAAAATACTTTTAAAGCATGTTTGACTGAGTCTTTATTTACGTTTACTCATTACTTTCTTGGCTAACCTCTTTTTTATCTCTTTAAAAATGCTCAGCATTGTGAGGGTCGGCTCCAGTAAGCTCCGAATAAATCGGGATGACATCTCTAGCTGTTTTCCACTGATTTTTATGCTGGACTTTGCAGCCCCAGCTGCAAACTTCCAGAAAAGAACAGGAAAGGCACTAGAGCTGTAGTGAGTTTTCACCTGATGGGGGACACTTCCTTGGGGGGACGCAATTCCTATTTTTGAGGGAGTGGGAATGCCATAATCCTCCTCCTTATGAAAAACTATTCATTTATTCAACATAAAATATCCAGTGTGGAATTGCCCTACCTAATGGTGTGTAATTAACGGAGACAGAAGAATATAGTACAAGAAGCTCAGGATACAGAAATCTTGAGAACAGGCATCACAGTTAGAAACTGTACATTCAAACATAGCAGACATTTAAATAATACTGGCCGCGCCCCCGCCCCGCCCCAAACACTGAAAAATACAAATACCATTCAACACAGCATATACAGCAAACTCTCGCCAAAGCTTTGCCAGTTAAGGAACTGGAGAACCCACAAGAGTCCCCAAACACCACAACTGAATGTCAAATAGCATTTTTGCTTCTTTTTTTAATGAATACACCAACCGAGCTTTATGTGGTTAGAGTCCTATCTTTGTTACATATGTTGGTGATTTTCTGGTATTAAAATGTTCCTCGAATGTGAGAAGGCCAAAACTTATGTCAGACAGGAAAAAAAGTGACAGCACAAATTTCCAGCTCAACAATCAGAAGCTTGCAAAGTTGGTTCGTATCGCCAGGGAGAAATCTAATCAATTTAAATAGCCTGCAATTCAGTTTGGAAGAGACAAACTCTTCTTGATCATCATTTTTGTGTCGGCAAAAAGCTGGTCTACCTGTACAAGTCATTTGTACAACTAGCAGAACCTATGTACATTTTTTAGTAGCAGTTGGAAAATGTTTTGAAATAACCAGATCCCAGAAAGCCACTCAGGGACATCTCTGAAGACATCCATCAAAATAGAATAGAATTCTTTATTGGCCAAGTGTGATGGGACACAGAAGGAATTAAACCATCTTAGTAGAAGCCACATAGCCCTAAACATGTTAGAAGTTGCCCACACATGCCTCTGGCACACATACACACTTCATAGCTATCAAAGTGCAGCCTCCTTAAAAAGCATCTGAGGCTTCCCAGTCCAGATACGACGTCCAGATGATGTCTTTCACCTTAGCTGAGCCAGTCAAAGACCACAGGTCAGGGCAGAGAAGACATGCCTCTGAACAGAAGGAGAAATGAGGAGGGATGTCTAGAAACGGGGCCCTCTTCTCCTCCCATCTACGAACCTTTGGCATTTGAGGGGTGCCCAGTGACAGAAAGAGGATGGCTAAGCTGGATGTCTCGGGATGACCACCACCAGGACCTGTAGTCATTCCTAGGACTCTCTGTTGGGGAAGGTGGATATGAACCAAAAGGAACCATCACCATTACGAGTTGCATAAAGTAGTGATCTAGCTTGACTGGACAGAACCTGCTCCCTTCCGTTTTACTGGATGAACCTAAATTCTTCAACTGAAAAAGAGAATATTTCCTGTTATTACCTCACCGTGCATCATTTGGTGAACTTACAGATGTTTTCTCCTGCAGCTGCCTCCTGAGAAAAACACTTCAGTCTATGGGTCACCTGGGGGGGGGAGTTTTCTGCTGCACACTCTTCCTTTGGAGACAGGGCAGTCATAGCCGTATGCTGTGTGTCCAAATTTCTTTCTTTTTTTTTTTTTTTTTGCAGGATTGACTTCAATATCCAAGGAAGTTCTCCATCGGTGAGAGGAACAGCATTTATCTGAATGCCTCTCCGCCCTCACAATCCCAGTTGCCAAGGAGATTCAGCTAAACTAGTAAAGGTCTGTGGGCCTTGACAGTTCATGGTGACAGAAAGAGTGCAAGGCTGATGATCAAGTCACAAGTGTCTGTGAGCTGCTCTAGGCGTGAGTACACATACATATGAACCTGTTTGCTTCTCAGGGTTGAAGACATGAGACGTGAAGAGCAGAGTCCTTGAAGGCAGGGGGATTGCTTGTGTGAGATGAAGACGCTCACTTGGCAACAAGAACAAAGCCTGGCCCTCCTGTTGTCTGTGTCCACCGTGACAAACGTAGCAGAAATTTGGGGCTAGATCTTTCCATGGTTATATCACATCCCTCCTCAATGCACACAAACACACACACACTTTCATCTCCCAGATGGAATGCCTCTCCTTGCACGTGGGGGTGGTGAAGATGCAAGCAACAAAGGATCCAGGACAGGTTGACCATCCCTTCTTTGGGCCAAGGATGGTGGTGAGATATTGCACTTCTCGGGTGTTGGGACTTGACTTCCTCCAGGTGGGGCAATCACCCCTGAGAGCCAGAGTTCGATTGGGGGACGCCACGCCCGAACATCTCCTGCCCCCACTCCTTGTGGGTGGACTCCTGGAGGCCGCGGCCTCTGGTTTCGATGGGAAGCAGGCAAGAGGCCAAAGCTGCCAAGATGCAGCACCCGCTATAAACGATCAGCGTCAGATAGACCGAAGACTCCAGCATTACCTGGAAAGGGAGGCAGAAGATCAGCCCAGAATGGTGTCCTTGCCAGGCTTCAGACAAATCCCCCAGGGCTAAATTAGGTTGGATGGACGAGCCGAGCTTTTGGCTGTGGTTGGTTGGGGTCTTGGAACTTTGCAACAATATTGTGACAAAGATGATGTCTCCCTATTCAGAGCAGTCTAGGTGGATGAGGCGCAAATACAGGGAACTGCCCGCCTTGTATCTGGAGAGTGCCAAACTGAGAAGGCAGACAAGCTCATTGTGATATTTGGCCTTTTGGGTGTGTCCTTACAATTGTGTTATTGAAGGGTCTTTAGAAACATATATTGGGGAATGAGAAGAAGCCTAAAGAGGGGTTGAGGTAAATCTAGCATGGACATCCAGGTTCTGCTATTGCATCGCTAGAGCTTCCCCTCAGAAGGTCTCCAGGATCTCTGATTCATTGACATGTCCTGGGACAAGCCTGGGTCAAGGGAAGCCCTGAATGGCCGCTAGGAAACGTCCTTCCTTTACCTGCGCAATGAAGGGTGTGATGAGGGCGCCAACTCTGGCCACTCCGCTGCATGTCCCCAGGCCCAGGGCTCGGGTGGCGGTTGGGTAGACCTGTCGGGAAAGCCATGACCACCTTGAGGCCCCCTGCCCACCCCTCTGCTTACTGCAGCCGGCGGTCACTTGGCTGAGCCCCCCCCTGGGAAGCTCCAGCACAGTCTCAGCCAGATGAGGAGTGCCTTCCCTCCTTCCTACCTCGGGGGTGTAAACATACGCGGCCTGGAACCCTCCCGAAATAAAGGCCCTGGCGACGAAGAGCAGCACGGTGAGCATCTTCCTGTACCAAGAGAAGGTGGCTTGTTTCCACGAGACCCAGCACACAGGCCAGGGTCATTCCCTCACAGTCCTGTGGAGGGACCCGAGTGGGGTGGCTCCCCACTTCTCTGGGTCCCCCAAACTCACCTTCCAACACAGAGGAAAAGCAGGAGGCTGCAGAAGGCGAAGACCAGAAAGGAGAGCGCCATCGTCTTCTTCCGGCCAATCCGGTCAATCACCCACAAGGTCACAAGAACCCCTGGAGGAGAAGGAGAAGAGGAGCCTCAAGGCCATTCTGCCGCCACCAGTGTCCGGGTGGGAGCGTGAATCCTTCCAGGTTGCAGGAGAAACGGAGTCACCTTCAGCACGGGAGTGTCTGGCCAGCCACTGGTTCCAGGCTGGGTTATCAATTTTTCTGAGCTTGCTGGCCAAGTCAGACCAAAGGACCTGGCTTCTCTAGCAGGCTTATTCCACTTCCCTTCCCTCTTCCCCAGAGCCATTCCTAAGAGCAGAGTTTGCATGTGCTGCACACGTCTCTCCAGGGTGACAGCACCACATCGGAAGGTTTCAGTGACGTCAAAGGGAGAGCTCTCCCTTCTCCTGACTGCACTTCCAACCTCCTTAAAGGACTCTGGGATGATCTGGGCGAGCGAGACGGGGGCGTCAAGACCACAATCACTATTTCAAAAGAAATGAGGGGAAACAACCCAAGTATTTTTTTTTTGTCAGAGGCCAATATTTATTCTTAAATTATTTTAGCATCTTGGGAAATGCAGCTAAGTTAAAGTATATGTTGGCAGCCTGTCAGCTGTAATTGGACATGTTGGATTCATACCTGGGCACCCTATTCCTGAAAGGACGAAGGAAGGGGGATGGTCACAATATCACAACACAAGCTCCTCCATGCGTTCCAGTATCGTGCCACCTCTTGCCCCTCCCCCAGTTGGGCACCCATGGGCACCCCATCCCCTTTCCCAAGGTCTACCTGGGAACTCGGAGAGGGTGGTCCAGAGCAGATCGATGTAGTCCTTTTCCGTCAGAATTTCACACGCCAGGCTGCATTTGGCCTTCACCATTTTCCTCCTGCTGGACACTTGGATGGAGCAAGGAGAAAGAGGGGGAGGGAGAAGGAAATGAACTCCCACCCCTTTGCTGGAGAGCCAGCCTTGTGCCCCGAGGCCCGGCTGCGCTCTTTTGCTCCCTGTTGGCATAATCCCCCTCACCTGACCATCATCCCCATGGCCAAACCACCAGCCCACCCGGTGCAAACTTTAGGGCAGCCTGTGCCCCTGGGAAATGCTCATGCAAGTCATCCTTCCAGGTACTGAGGGGGGCTGCTACCCCTCCCAGCAGGCCCCTGGCTGAGTGGACATCTTGTCAATGGTCTTCTTGACCTCAACTGAGGGACCAGGTAGAAACATCCATTGAATTGAATCCATTGTCCTGAAGGCAGGACAAGAAGCAACGGGTGGAAACTAACCAAGGAGAGAAGCAACCTAGAACTAAGGAGAAACTTCCTGGCAGTGAGAACAATTAACCAGTGGAACAACCTGCCTCCAGAAGCGGGGAATGCTCCAACACTGGAAGTTTTTAAGAAGAGACTAGACAGCCATTTGTCCGAAATGGTATAGGGTTTCCTGCCTGAGCAGGGGGTTGGATTAGATGACCTCCAAGGTCCCTTCCAACTTTATTATTATTATTATTATTATTATTATTATTATTATTATTATTATTATTATTATTATTATTATTATTATTATTATTATTATTAACATCTGGGCATTTAGGGCTCTGGGCGTATCCTCCCCCCACTCTGTCTTGACTCACAGCTGCAAAGGTCTCCTGCTTGGAATAGCTCCGTGGTCAGCAGAACGAGGCCGTAGTAAGAAAAGGCATTGGAGAACCTGTGAAGAGGAAAGGAAAAATCTTCAGGCAATGAGATGCTCTGAAAAGGAAGCATAAAAGAACCGCGGTGCTGTGAAAAACCGTTCTCTGCACCCAAGAGAGAGGAACTACACCGCCCAGTCTCATTTCACTGGAGAGGAACTGAGATGGTCCCCGGATGTTCTACGCCTGTCTTGTAGCAAAGTTAAACTCTTGATTTAATCCACCTCCTGGGATATTTTAGCAAACAGCTGCTTTACTTACTTCTTACTGCTGTACGTCTGTTTCTCCACTCATGTTTTTTTACTATTCAAAAAGTCTTGGTCAATTTATCAGGGGTAAACCTTCCCAGTTTATCTTACCAGATAAACCACAGCAGAAGTGTTGTCAGTCTGAACTGTGGCGTGAATAAGTCCCTCATTTTCCCTCGATCTTCCTGTTTGGAAACAATAATTGACTGTTCAGCGTTGTCTGAACAAACAGCAAGAAGTCAGGTGCAAAAGTGCAGCTCCAGCTTCTCTTGGAAAACACTAGAACTGGAAGTCACACAGGCAAGGATCCCAGGTCTGAGATTTATTGAACGAGCGAGGAACGCAGTTAAAAATGTTTGCCAGCAACTGCCAAGTATGAAACACGAGCCCTGTTTGTAGTGAAATCCAGGTTCAAATGCCTGCCTTTGGATTTACTGCTGGTGGGAAGTTTTCTCAGCAGTTTAGAGAAAGGTGGGGTAGAAAATTAGTCAAACCAAACCATCATTAAGACAAGTCGTTCCCATCCCTTCCTCCCCAAGACTTGGGACGGCCATGAAGGCTTTTCTCCAAACTCACCTGCCTAGACATAATCAACTTCCCCAGAGGCATCGGGGCACCATTCTCAGTTGCAATCCTTTTCAAGGTAGCAATGGCCTTTTCCTGGTTACCGGTTAACACATCGTATCGGGCACTCTCTGGCAGCCACTGCAGGAGACGAGGAAGGCCACAAGTTGTTGCGTAACTCAGCTTTCCCCAACCTGATCCCCAGCCTCCTGTCTTGTCAAACCTGCCAGCTGAAAGCAAAGTTGGGTAGTAATTCAATACTTCTTAAGGACGTGAGGCTGGGGAGCATCCCAAAGGCTTAGACTAGCTAACTACCAAGCAAGGAAGGTCATCTCAGTGCAGAAGGCTAATGTGCAGCCACTGCCAGAGACTCTGATCCCAGAAAGAACACGTACAAAACACAAGATGGCAAACAGCATAAGAGGGACGGCTGAAAGGATGAGTAGCCATCGCCAGCCAAGGGTGGGCATCACAAACACCGCAAGGAGGACTTCAAAGACAGTTCCAATGGCCCAGAAGACCTGTCCGTGGAAAGGAGGAAAAAACAGGAAGGATTATTCGAATGGATGAGTTCCATCTTAGCAGGTTAAATTAATTGCCTCCGCTTTTGATGGCCATCATCTCTGGAAAAATCTGTTCTTCATGACTTGTTCACATGGAACATTCCCCACTGATGTGGTTGCTTTGGAACCACAAACATCCCGGCAGTAAAATGTGACACCAAATCGTCCAGTGACAGACTCTGAAATCTCTACTCCTCAGCCTTTCATTTTGGATTTCTCTGACATCTGAAATCTGACTTTTCTTCACTCACCTCAATCAGCAATATGCACTTTGCTCTGGATTTCATGGGGAGGAATTCTGCATATAGCGTTACCCTGGAAAGAATAAAAGTATCAAAGAGGTAGTTTGCAGAGTTACAACAACGTGGGTCCTGATATCCAGTAAAACTGTTGACTTTTTATTGAAACTCCAGTGAGAGCTTTCAAAACAGCTTTATTCTGACTTGGTGATGGATTCAGAATTGGGTAACCATTGGAAGATGGCGGCCATTTCAAGCAAGCCTCTCCAAAGTCCAGATTGTGCGTGGACAAAGGAAGGGTATACTCACGACTGAGGGACGCCTCCAATCCCAAATCCCACCAAGCCCCTCAGGACCAAGATCCAGCTGTAAACTGGTGCAAATCCACTAAGGACTCCATAATACAACGTCCAGAGCACACTGATCTTCAGCCCCTGCACAGAATGAAGAGACACCAAGAAAGGAACATTTACTACTTTCCCCTTAGTGGTCACCTGCAGAATATGTAGCAGATAACCCCTGACCCTGTAAATGGGATTGAGGATGGGAATTTCAGAGGACTGAAGTGGTAGGTCATACATCTGGAAGGATGCTAAGCTGAGTAATGTTGGCTTAGCACTTCAGGGGACAAATAGCAAATATCCCAGAGGCATGTGGGAGACTTACGGTTTTTCTGCCATATTGGTCTGAAATATTTCCCCACAGTGTGGAACTGAACATCATCCCCAGGAAAACCACCTGCAAGGAATGGACAAAAGGCATGTGCTAAGCGCAAACTGAAATGGGGATTTTCCAGGAAGACTTCCTAATGATAAAGGAACAAGATGCTTAGCAAAGAGATATTCCCCAGACTCTCTGCACAACAATTTTACAGGAACCCTTGCCACGTCTACAGTGATTCAACACAACTTATTGATGTATTTGAATGTATTTCCCACCCAGGTCCAATGGTCTCCTTCTCGGAGCATTAAAAATTACAGATGATAAAGGATAGAAAGTATCAGTAAAGGAGACAGAGAAGGGTAGAAGGATCAGTTAAGTTAGCACACCTTAAAAATATCAATACAACATTGTGGGGTGTAGGTGAAATGCATTTATCAGGCCAAACATGACAAACAACACTTAATCACTTTTGACTCATTAAATTCAGTCTCTTATTTATTTAAATGTATTGATAATCTTCCATGGGCCCATCACTTCACGGAATGGAGTTATCTGGAGGGAATCAGCAGTGCAATTCTGTGCATGGGATATAACAAACATCACCGTAATAGTTCTCAGTGCCTGCAACCTCTTGTAAGTTAATGAGGGGGGAAAAACTCTTTATTCCCCTGAAAACAATAAAGTAGCTTCCTATCAGACATTGTCACAAGCACCTTTGGTGGCCAAGTCCCAGATCCAAGCTGCTGAAATTAATTAGAGCAGGCCAAGATTTTCAGCAGATGTTATTGTCGCCTTGTTCCAAAAAGTAAACTGAGAATCAAATCTAATACTGAAATTTAGCCTGTTGGGGTGTGACTCAATGGGGCTGACATCCTAAGAAGCATACATAAGAATGGCTTCAGTTTACTTCTGGCAATGCCAAGAATTTTTACGCTCCCCGTATTATTAAGCTTGCTCGCTGAAAACAGTGGGGCTTTTTTCTCCCCTGTGTTAACATCCCACGGCAACAAGGGGAAACCCCTTAGAGAATACAGGAGGAGCTGTGTGGTATTTTCCTACCGATGTGAGCAACGCAACCTGCCAGGTGGGTAATCGCCACTCACAATGAAGCTGAGGTGCCAAGATGCTCAGAATCATCATTTCCATGGCATCAGCCATCTGGAAGAAAAAGGAGACAATATTATCAACCCTTTGCCAAAATCCTTCAGAACCGACGTGCCCCATTGTGTAGGTCTCCAAACCTGTGGACTTCAACTTCCAGAATTTGCCAGCCAGCCATGGGAGCTGAAGTCCATAAGTCTTAAAAGTTGCCAAGTTTGGAGACCCCTATTTAGGTGGACCAGTCAAGATAAGCACAGTCTTGCTTTGATGTAATACTTTCCAAGAACCCATCAAGAATGGTAGATCCATCTACTTGCCCATGCTAAGCCAGTCAGAATGGAGAGTTTCCACTGGAACTTGCCAAACCCAATAGCTTCCACCACATCTTCCACCATGAAAGTATCTGAAAGGGAGACAAGTACGCCAGGAAACAACGTGATTTCACCCACCATCCCATTTCCAGGTGGCTTTCATGCCCTGACCTGCCCATGCTCACTTTGCTTTTTTCTCAAGGTGATCTACTAAGTGATCTACTCACCATCAGTTGGGTTGGCAAAGTCCTTTGGCACAATTCCTCCATCTTCCAACTCTACAGCTTCTAAGTCGGTCTGGACACCCTCAATCTGAACTTCGTGCTCTCCTGACACGGCATCCTCTTCGGAACGGTTGCTTTCTCCTGTCCGACGGAACTTGACAACCCTGGCAAGATGGAAAAGATTCTGTGGAGATTGGAGGAAACCAGAGTCTGCAAACCTGGTTGAGCATCTCTGTTGGTACCCGACCTAAGCTGAGGTCTTTTGCTGGGGTGTCAGAGCAAGGCCTGTTCTTGACTGGATGTCAAAATTGCAGGGAGAGATTCTATCTTTGTCTGAAGGAAGTTGTGCCAAAGGGCATCTTAGAAGTGATAGCTCCTGAAGTCAAAGAAATATGCAAGCTATTTAATGGTGAAGGATCTTGATAGTTTGCCAGAAACTAAATCTGTTTCCCTGTGCAGATGGCAAAGAGTCCAGCAAGGTCACTAGGTGATGGGAATGCAAATATATCTGCGATCTCAGACAATGACACTTTGGCTCCCAGCTGGCTAAATAAATACATTTGACACACATAAATAGGAAGAGCCTGCTGTGGTTGCTTTGAAAAGGATGCAGAGAGACTAAAAAATATCTCAAAGAGAATATTTCATTTTTCTTCAACTGAGAAGCAGCCCTTGGAAACATCAGCTCTTTGAGCTAGGAGCTCTTGGGACAGAGATTACAAGGATAAACATTCCAATGGAAGACTGTCTCTGTAGCTCAGTGCTGAACTGTGGAGTTCTCTGAGGTTGGTGGTTTCCTTGCAGACATTTCATCACCTAACTAGGTAACATCATCAGTGCTAAGGATAAACACCATTCTGTCGCCTGCGTCTGAAATCATCATGACCAGAAATGTTTCCCACCCTAATTTTTGAGCACACCCAGAACCCAGAGCCTGCAAAGGACTGTAGGCCTTGCATGCTTCCCATCTGTGGTTGTTCTTCATGCTTTGCCCATTCATATTTTATCAGCATCAATTATGCAAGAAGCTGACAGACAGACTGACCACTTTTAGCAACAAGGGAGCTTCCATTTGCAGAGTGGAAACGGAGGGCAAGTGCTTTATGGAGACCCCTGCCCAGAAATGTTAGGGTACACTGATCAGACGACCAGGCCTAAAGTACCTTTAGGCATTGTGGGAGTGACCAATTCTGTACATCCACCACAGTCCACTTGCATGTTAGGGAATCCATAAACCTTATCCATTTTCAAATCTTAAAACTGGACAGTTCCTCACCTCCTTCATTTCCTAAAGCAAAGTGGGCTGTAGCTATCGCAATCTAGCTTGGCCTACAGAGAGGATCTCGAATGAAAAAAAGGCCAGGACGGATTCCCAGAGCTGAATCAGGCCCTTCTGGTTCTACCTTGAGATTTTTGGGGAGAAGGGAGGGAGGGAGGGACAGCTTTGAGCAATGCCAGATCCTAGTTCCCTGAAAGGGTGAGACTTCAGGAACGGTGCCCTGCTTTCTACTCACTACAGAAGCTTTCCAGAGACTCTCTTTCTGGGATGGGAAGCATCTTTTAGAAAGTAAGACACTGCCTGCCAGCACTAACCGGAGCTGGAATAAAAGAAAACAGAGCCATCCCACGGATATCAGGGAGGAAATGTGCTTAAATAGGATTTGCCTAGCAAAGCTCTCGGCTGCCTGAGATGCCTCCGTGGGATGCATTTGTATGCACTGAAGCACCTCGCTACTCTGAAAGGAGCTAATTAGGCCGACATGTGAAAGGTGTTTAAAAGGCTCCTTCGCCCAGAAAAATCTTGCAATTTGATCTGTGCCTGATCCACCAGCCAGCAGTCAGCAAAATAAAGGTTATTTCTTGACAGAGCCAGACAATCACAAAGAGAAATTCAGATTCCTGCAAATGTGTGGGTGTCTCTGCACACCACACGTATCTGAGGAGGAAGCATAAACTACCCCCCCCCACTTCTGCCTAACAATGCCAGACATATTCTCCCAAGTCTTTCAAAGCCATCCTCCCCCTCCTCCTCCCCCTCCTCCTCCCCCTCCCCCTCGGTGGATCTCTCTGCAAAACCTGTATTTGCAGAAGAAAGCAGAGGAATTCCTAGCCACCCCCATTCTTGCAGCATTCAGGAAGAGAAGGAAAAACATGTCCGGAATCTAAGATCTTCAGCTTCCATGATTGCAAACATTTTGGCTGGGTCAAAATTCTGAAATTTTCCTTCAGAAAAACAACACTTCCCACAAAGGCAAAGTGTTGATCCTGGGAGGATGCAAATGATGTTTTGGGCAGTCTTTCCCATGCAAGGACCCTCCAGCTGGTGGGATTACAACTCTCATCCATCAGTGATGGCTGGGAAGATCGGAGCGCTCCAGTCTCAGGCCTCTGGAGGGCCCCAGCTGTGGGAGAGGGAAGGGGACCTTGCAAGCAAGGAATTCGGGGCAAGGCACAGCAGGGCTCTTTGCAACAGCCCTCAAGGAACTGGGGTGCTCTTCCCACCCCGGGTTACTTACGGCAGTTGCCTTAGCTGGAACAAATCTTCCTCCATTGCAAAGGTGTGGCTGGAGGTCTCATCGCTCTTACATGGTGGGGAGAAGGAGAGAAGCGGGGGATTTCAGGAGGCTGCCGAGTAGGACAGCTCCCGTTGCCACCAGCCAGCCTGCGCGATGAAAACCCAGGAGGAGGAGGAGGAGGAGGCGAGGTCTGAGCCAGCAGCAGCGGAGGAGGGAGGGAGGGGGGCAGCTTGCTTGCCTTGAAATCCTCCCCCTTTTCTTGCTGGCTGCCGTCAGTTCGCTTCGCTGGCTGCAGGGCAGTCTTCCACCTCTCTTGGAAGAGACCTTTGCAGCGCCCAGCCAGGGATTATTAGAGGAAAACCTACAGCTCTTGGAGGCAAAACACCCCAGTCTAAAGACTGGAGTCCCGGTGGGGCGAAAGAGCTCCTCAGGATGGACCCAGCTCTCCAAAGCTCCCCCTACAGCTGTGGGATTCGCTGCAAGAGATGACTAAGAAGAGATTTCTTGCTGGGCTGGAGGGCTTCCTGGGTCCAGGGCTGGACATTTAAGCCACACATCTCTTCTTTCCAGGGCCAGGGGCTGAGAAATGAGCAGTGGGGGAAGCTTCCTTTTTCTGCCTCTTCACCTACAACTCCGGTAGCCTTCCAGGGCTGGCTGATTGCAGGTGGAGTGGTTGAGTTGAGTTGAACAGAACTGCAATACAAAGCATTTAAGAAGTAGTAAGGAGCTAGACTCAGTTCAAAAAGGTGAATGCATGTGGTGCAGGCATGAAAAGAGGTGGGGAACAGCAAATAGAAGGAAAGAGCAGAAGGGTCAGACAAGATTCCGAGTTTCCTATTGGGAGAAGAAGCAACAGAACCTCCAGATAGAATAAGTGTGATTTGCAATAGCTTGGAGAGAACAACTAATGCAGTTATGATCTTACAGTCTCATGGTCAAATCCTCAATCTGAGATTAATGCACCTGCCTCAGAATGCAAAGCTTGATGGCCTCTCAGATATGTGTGTGGGAGGGGGGGTCTGGAAGTTGCTCTCTTATCTGGAAGACAGAAAGTGAGGAACAGGCTGCCTTCTGGCACAGTGGGAGGCTTGAAGGCACTGGATCTGTCTCAAATATGTTGGCTTGGATCACTTTCCAACTCAGCTTGTGGGTGTGTTGGCTCTTGCTGGGTTGAGTGACCTTCAGGCACGGGAAACAGGAAAGCCGGTGCTGAAGTCCAAGGTGCAACTAAATAATGCACAGGGAGCCTGAAGCAAAAGGGTCTTGACCAGGATGTTGGGTGTGTCAATCTTCTTGTCCTCTGCCTGGATAGCTCTGGCTCACTGCAAGTTTTGTCCACAATTGACAAGGATGCCTTAAATTCTAAATATATTGGAGAATGTGGTTGTTTTTGAAATGTCTCAGAACTGCTTTCCTTCATTTTTCACACACTTTTTAATATTTTGCTTCTACCCCCTTAAATATATATTTGAAGTGTTTGCTTTCAGTTGGTGTTTGGGATGCAGCTTTATTGCCTGATGCTTTAGTAAGTTTCCTCTGGACTCAGAGGGCTTACTCCCATGTAGAACTGAATCTACCCTCTTTAAAGCCAATGCTTTAAAATTGCTTTGGTGCAATTAAGAAAACATCTAGAATGCTGTTTTTTCTTCTTCTGCCTTTCCCTCCCGGGACAAAAAGATGCCCTCCTCCTGTTATCTTTCAGAGAAGTTGCTCCGCGGAACCTTTTTTCGTCTGCGGAACTGTGTTTTCGCAGCACCCGGGGCAGGATGGGAGTCATAGGGCGTAGAACCCCTTAGCAACCGAGGGGGCGGAGACCCCGTTGCTACGAGACCCTCGGGCAGGAACTCGACCCGGCGGCTTCCGCTCCTCCCGGAAAGTCTTCCCCGCGCGACCCGTTCTCGCGCTTTCGGTTCCGTCCGCGAGGCGCAGCGAGGCCGGGGATGCAGCTGAGCCGCTTCGGCGGGCTGGAAACGGAGCGGGCGGCGGTGGTGCTGCGGCGGCTTCTTCGGGCCGGGGGCTTGGCCAGGTCCGGCCGCGACCGGAGCGGGTCCCCCCGAACGCCTGCGGGGGGAAGTGGAGGGACGCCGCCGTCGGGACGATCCCCTGCGCGGATCCCTGCGGGCGTCTGGGCCGAGGGGCTTCCGTGGGTCGGAATGGCCAGCCTTCCCCGTGGGGAGGGACTACAGGTCCCAGAAGGCGCGCCGGCTCGGAAACCTGCGAGGGGCGGGAGGGGGCTGCTCGGCCTCCCACCCGGAGGAGCTCCTTTCATGTCCCCTTCCTCTTCCCAGGGCCAGAATGATGAGGAGCTGGGGGGTCATCGGTGGGGTGGCCGCCGTCTTTGCCGCCGGCCTCTACGTCCTCTGGGGCCCCATGGCCGAGAGGAAACGGCGCAGGAAAGGTGAGGGGCGCCCGCCTGGGATGGCACCCACCACCCGGGTCCCCTCCCTGGGACGGCAGCCAGCCAGGTGGGAACTGAAGTGTCTGCCAGCCAACAACATCCAGGCTCGGAAGACACCGGGGACCCGCATTCAGCCTGGAGCTGCAGGGATTCTCTTCTTCCGTTGGAATAAGAAGAGAAGCGGCCGAGCCCCCTACAAGGCTAATCCATGACGTTAATCTTTCTCCCTCCCCGCCCCAACAGGGCTGGTGCCCGGGCTGCTCAACCTGGGCAACACGTGCTTCATGAACTCCCTTCTCCAAGGGCTGTCGGCGTGTCCTTCCCTCATTCAGTGGCTGGAAGGATTCGCAGGTCAGCGCTCGGCTGGCCAAAGCAAGAAGGCTGGGCAGCAGTCCCTGTCGCTGACCTTGCTTCGCTTGCTGAAAGGTAGGAGCCCTTTTGCAAGATCTCGGGGGGGGGGGTACCTGTCATTTTTCTGAAGTCCTATATTTTAACCTTTGACTCCTTGTTCTGTTCATTGGATTACCTAGCAAACGGACACAGCGCTTTTTATGATACGAAGGAGGAAACGGCGATGTAGTGGTAGGACACAGTTCTAGAAATGGTGCTGTGGATATTGGCAACGCAAGAGGACACATTCCGTCTGAAATCTGTAGAAAACTAAATGCAAATTCTGCCATTTGACAATGTCAGGGCAGGCAATGCATTCTAACAGTACTGGTGTCAAGATTTTCCACTCTTTAGACTGTTCCGAAGGATATGAGTGTAAAGCATTTTCTTTAGAATCAGAGGCTCCAGGACTAGGAGGGGAATAAGTTCGCTTTTTTGGAGTTCGCATTAACTTTTTGGGCCATTTGTTGCTTTCAGCTTTATCCTGCCAAGAGACAGTGGGGGACGACCTCTTGGATGCAAGCTGCTTGTTGGAGGTTTTAAGGCTGTACCGCTGGCAAATCTCCTCTTTTGAAGAGCAGGTAGTGATCGGAAAGAAGTAAGGTGATGTCATCTATTGCTGAGCATCTCAGTATCTACACATAGACGGTCTGGTCTATGATATTGGGCACATAAAAACAGGAGCAAGAATTGCCTTCTCCCCTGTTCATTGCAGTCATTTCCCTTGTCCCTTTTTTTTTTTTTGCTAGGATGCTCATGAACTGTTCCACGTTCTGACTTCTTCACTAGAAGAAGAACGAGATGGTCAGAGCCAGATTCCTCATTTATTTGATGTGCATTCACTGGAGGTGAGTGAAAGAATAGCTAAGGAGTACAGCTAGAATTAGAAGAGGAATCAAAATACATTTAGGCCAATCGTCTGTCCTCTACCTGCCTGGGAATTTGCTATCTTGAAGTTTTCAGGATTTATTTTTCAGTAGCGTACATAGGGCCGGGCAGGGGTGAATTTTATCTTTCTTTACATTGTTTAAATCTCGAAGACAAATAATTCAAATAATCAAAAGTCTTGATATTTCTGGCTTATTTTCATAATACACATTATTTGTTGTTTTTCCTACCTAGGAGCCGGAAATACCTCAAGAACAAATATGCTGCCGAACAAAAGGTTAAAGAAAAAAAAAAAGCTTTTAACAGGGTTGGCAAATTTATTACACAACAGATTGTGGCAAAAGAGTTGTATTTTGTAGGTCCGCTTTATCCCTTGCCAAATCGTTGGAAAAGTCAGCATCCTTTTCATGGGAGACTGACAAGTAACATGGTTTGCAAGCACTGCAAGCAACAGGTACATAACAAAAATAAGCGCAGGTTTTTGGATCTATTGTGTAGACATATGTGATCATTCTGGGATCCACCAGAATGGAAAAGTTGCCGTGAAACTGTCTGACTTGGGCAGGGCAACGGAGGTGCTTCTCCATCCTTGCCTGTCTGCTGGGAGATAGGACAGTGTTCAGGTGGAATCCAGTGCTCCTTTCTCTTCCAGAGTCCCCTCAGATATGACACTTTTGACAGCCTTTCCTTGAGCATCCCGGCCACTGTGTGGGTAAGTCCGTTTCCTTGGAGGCCCAGAGCGATGCTTTAGGCATCTGCCGGAGTTCTGACTTCCTTCCCCTGTCCGCAGGGCCATCCCTTGACGCTGGATCACTGTCTTCGCCACTTCATCTCCTCCGAGTCGGTCAAGGATGTCGTATGTGACAACTGTACCAAAGTAGGTCTTCTGAGTAGCTTGGGATCGCGCGGTGGTGATCCGTTTCTGTATTTCACCCACCAATTTGCAAATAGGTGTAAAAGTAGGGTCCTCCAAGCCTCATTCCTTTGTGAATCGTGTCTTGGACGCACCAGACCCCTAAACATCTTTCATTTTTTTTTGTTTTTTCCTCTTCTCCAAGATTCAGGCCAAAGGGACAAAGGGCCTCCAAATTATGGAGCACCAGAGAACAACTTTTGTTAAGCAGTTAAAATTAGGAAAGGTAAGAACTGGGGCATTGGAACTGTTGGGGGTTTACTCAAGAGGGGCAAGGGACCCTCTGTCTCGCTAAGCGTACTGCATACTGTGGAGCAAATACTCTGTTCTCTGTCTCATTCCATGACAGCAAACATTAGAGGTGGAAGATAGTAATGAGGGGTAGGTGGCTTCCTATAGAGATTGGCAAGACCAGCATTCAGGCCCTTTTTGAAGATGAAGCTACTGTTTGTCTGTGAGAGGCTAAATTCCCAATTCATGTTTATTTTCCTCTGGGAGGGCCATCCACCTGTAGCATGTAGAGGATCAACCAGTATCGCAGGCTGACTGAGATATTTGACACTGGTTCTGCGTGGCCCCAAGAATGTCCTAAGAGCTGGGGGTTCCCATTTGGGGAAACCCTGGGCTTGTGTTTTGGCTACATTGCACATGGGAATGCCTCGTCCTGCCACCAACAGCCCCATTTCCCTCTCTCCCTCTTGCCTTTCTAGCTCCCTCAGTGTCTCTGCATCCACCTGCAACGGTTGAGTTGGTCCAGCCATGGCTTGCCCCTGAAGCGGAATGAGCACGTGCAGTTCAGCGAGTTCCTCATCATGGATCTGTACAAGCAGCACTTTCCCACCCATAAATCCAGCCCCAGGGAGGGTCTGCAGGCAGAGCCAGGCTCCAGGGAAGGTAGGAAGTCATGGACAGGAGCCCTGCCTGCTCACCTGTATTGGGGATCGTTAGACATCCAGAGTCCGCTTCCTTTTTTTGCTTTTTACAGGCATGGAACGAGCAGGGAACAGCAAACCCATTCTCAGCAACGGCACATACTACACTCCGTGGCTGCCTCCCTCCATCGGTTTCCCTTACATGGCTGTTCCTGGCTGTGGGTAAGCGAGAACAGGGTGGGCTGCTGCTAGACTTCCTCAGAGACGACAGCAGCCTGTAAAATACTATTTGTCTGCATCTTCCACAGGCTGCTGAGCCTGTCTGTGAAACATACGAGTATTGGTTGAGCCTTTGGGTGAAATCCCACCCTGTCTGGACTCAACCCTGCCGTAATGGTTCTAGAGGCAGCTCAGCTGCTGTTCCATGAATTTAGGCAATTGCTAGGAAGAGCAGTTTGCTAGCTTCTCTTCTGAGCTGAAAACTTGAGAGGGGAGGATGGGATGTGGAGTGGACACCTCTGCCTCTCTTTTCCCTTCGGTAGTTCCCCCGTCTACGTGTACCGCTTAATGGCTGTCGTGGTCCACCACGGGGACATGCACTCAGGGCACTTTGTGACCTTCCGCCGTTCTCCATCCTCTTCCCGGACTCTGCCCTCTGCTGGCAGCCAGTGGCTTTGGGTTTCCGACGACGTGGTGCGCAAGAGCACCTTGCAAGAGGTCCTGTCGTCGAGCGCCTACTTGCTCTTTTACGAGCGCATCTGCTCCAGGCTGCAGCCTCCCAGCCGAGAATTCCAAGCTGAGGAATGATAGAGGAGACCAGGCCATGCGTGCAGTAGCCGCTGCTCTACCCTGGGGCAAGAACCCACCAGGAGGTTTCTGCCCTGGACACCCCAGGATGCAGTGGAGGGGGTGCCTCTCGACAGGAGCCGGTAGACGGTCTTGCCCAAAGATGTGATTTTCATCCATCTCAGAAAAATCTTCATGTGCTCCAGAATACTTTCCGTTCCAGGAATTTCAAGTAGAGGCCTCTTAGGTTCTCCTCCCTTGTGGCTTCACCTCCGCCGCTTCCTTTGTGGTGATTGATTTACTGCCAGTCTTTTCACATTTCACACCTGTAGCAGATTCAGTCAGACAACAACCTGCCACGTCTGGAGGGGAGGGTGAAAAAGTCCTTTTAAGTGCCTTGATCGTATTTTAATTAGCGAGGAGCTCACTTGTGGCTGGTGCGCTGGGATTCCGGGGGAGGCCAGCGGAGCAGAGGAAGGAAAGCAGGCTGGTATCTTTGTACTGATGAGTCTGTTGTAATTACATCAGATTTCTTATCAGGCTCTCCTTCAGCAAAAGGAGGAGCCCTCTTTCCTATAACTTGCTAATTCTACCACCAGAATTTGCCGATTTAAAATATTTTGTACATAATAAAATTGCTGCTAAAATTCCAAATGTGTTTAGACCGTCTGGCTTTGTATATGTGAGAGAAACCCTTTTCTCATCTTCCTGCATCAGCTCCTGTGGACTCAAAGCCAGATGACGAGTGTGCTAACGACGCAACTTTTGTGTCCTATTAAAGTCAGCAGCCCAACACTGATGACAAAGACAGAGCTTTTCTCCCATAGGAAACAAATGATAACTTTATTTATTTCAGGGTATGTAAACAAGACACAAAGCAGTAGAGTTTGTGGACCTCAGGCAGGCTGCTGCTTGCAGAGTGACTCCTACTCCGGAAGTTTGCTTGAATGGAAATGAGTGGGGCAAAGCATAAATAGGCCCTGGGAATACACAGGGCCCTCCTTAGCTCCAAGCTGGAGGGGGGAGGGGGTTCCCCAGCCAGAAGCGGGCCTGCATTTGGAGGGGCCTCAGCGTAGAGACACTTTCCTTGACTTAAGACAGTAACGTCTCCCCACTGCTTAGAGAAGCGCCATGGATCTTGATCAGCTCCTTAAGCAGCAAGCAGATTGACTGAGATGTTCCCAACATGCGCTGAGCGCCAAAGATTAGGTTTGTGCAGCACAGTTCCCTATAATTAACTGAAGTCTGGTTTGTTCAGTTAACCCTATTTTCTTGGTTCACAGGATACATTATGCCAGAGGCCAGGTTCACACAGCCAGGGGCTGCATCAGGTTGTCCAAGTAGAGCCTGTGATTAAAACAGCCCAACTTTTGAGTCCAGATAGGTTCCAAGAAAAGGGAGCTGTAAACCCATGCCGCAGCCTGTGCGAAATAAGGAGGTTCCTTCAAGCACCGAAAAGGGTAGAAAGACGCTCACCCCAGCTCCGTTCCTGGGAGCTAAAGAGTCCTAATTTTCCGAAAGGTCAGATTGATTCTGGGCGCCAACACTTTCTTGCGGATGGGCAGGCTGTGGTACCAGTAGCGATTGGTGGGGAAGTTCATCACCAGCAGACTGCCATGATCCAACTGCAACTTGACTGGTGCGATTCGTCGGGAGGGGGTTTTGCCCCGAGAAGCCCCATGGCGGAGGATGAAGTCCCTGCGGGCACCAAAGGACACAGAGGCAATGGGGCTGCGAGGAAGCAGCTCCCTCTCGTCGTCTCTATGCTCTCCGATGTGGTCATGGCCATCTTTATACCTGCAGAGGCACAAGGAAGATCTTGGATCCGTCTGCTGGGCAATGCAGCAGGGCAGCTGGAAACGCCCCAAGCCCCGTGGGTCAGATTGATGGCGTTTCCTGCTGTCTAAAACACCCTGGGGAATTACCTGTTTATCAAAACAAAGTTGAAGGTGTGCCCCGTGGCCAGCTGGACACGGTCCCTGATGCGATTCAGAACTGGAATCCAGGGCTTGGGAGAAAAGGTGACACCGGAGTAAGTGTAGGTCAGCCCAGCATCCCCGTAGGTCACCTGCTTCCTCGGGATGTCGTGCCATTTCCCAAAGATGTGCAGCTTGGTGAATTCACCTGTTTGGGGGAAAAAAAAGCAGAACTGCCGATTCTGCTGCAAATAATGGTTAGGGTTCACTTACAGATCAAACCCCAGAGGCTTCTCGGGAGGGAGAAGAATCAGTAACAGTGGAGAAGCGGCTTCTGGGGTCCCCTTCCAAGCGGAGGGCAAGGAAGAGAGCAGAGGTCATTTCCTGCTGCTCCAGGTGGCCCCCCAGCCCTACAAAGTGCCGGCCAGGTGCCTGGAGCCACCTTCACCTTCGAAGTACTCCACCTCCTTTTCCAGCTGCCGGAAGGCCTCGTCCGCCTGGGCTCTGCCGTAGAGGACGGTGTAGTCACAGCTGAGCCCCTCGGCCCGGATTTCCTTCCACAGCCCGCCTGGCAAGGGGGGCGCCTCTCGCTTGGCAGGGCCTGCCTCCCCCTCGGTGGCCCTGGGCCCTGGGGCCTCCTCTGGGGTGGAGGCAGGGCCTGCTGGGAGAAGGAATTTCTCCATTGCTGACTTCGGGCAGAGGAGGGGAGACAAGAGGGGCATCTGCACCCCCTGGCAGCGGAAGGGCCCCGGGGCCTCTTTGCAAGGCTTTCCCGCAGCAGCTCCTTTACCGGCCATGGGAGCAATCCCGGCAATAATGGCTAACGCCCCCCCCCCTCCCCAGCCCCTCAGAGCCGCTAAGGCTGGGCGGGCCAGCAGGGAAAACCTTGCGGGCGCCAGCGCTACCCAGGCGCCCCCTTCCTCTTAATTCCGGGGCGAAGCGGGCAGGCAGGGAAGGTGCCTGGGCGCAGCACGGAGGCCAGGGGCCCCTCCTTCCTCCCGGGCCGCTCGCCAAGGAGGAGAAGAGCCGCCGCCTCCGGAGCGGGTTGCAGCAGCACCCGCCGCCCGAAAGTCCGCTCCCGGGTTCGATGGGGTGCCCAGGGCGCATGCGCCCAGCGCGCCGACATTTTACTCGGGGTTCTCCCTGGTCACGGCAGCGCGCATGCGCGGATTGAACGCGGGCGGCGGGGGGGGGAGGGCGTTCCTTGACCGCGCGTGCCCAGCAGTTTCGCGCCAATTTTTTTTCGGGGGAGATTCCAGACCTCCACCGCGGCTGCCGCTCCCGCCCTGCAGCGCCCCGTTACCTCTGCCAGCGGTGCCACCATGATCGGGCAGAAGTCCCTGTTCTCCTTTTTCACGGCGGCGCCCGGCAAGAAAAGGACTCGCTCTCCGGAGTCAGCCGAGGCAACTGAGGTACTTTATTTTTTGGGGGGGGGGAGTTATTGTGAAGAACGTTATTAATAATATTAATATTATTATTGCATTATTAATAGAGCGGGAGGCAGTCTGGTGATTCGGAGGGAAGAAGTGGGGCATGTTTTCAGCTACCACGTTTTCGTAGTAAAAACAAAAATTGCTGTCTGAGGTGCCGACCAATGAGAAGCCTCCAAAGGCTTTCGGCGGGAGGGATGTTGGTGACCGCTTACGGTCACGTGATCCGGTATTGGTTACTCTTAGGTACGAAATCGTTAGGTTCTCTCCCCGCCTAGAATCGAGCTTTATAACGAGGGCTAACCAGTGTTCCCATTGGGAGAAGATGGGCGTTAGGTTAATCTCCTGCTCCGCCCGGTTCCTTTGTTACCTGCATCTGGTTATCTCATTCCGCTTCCCCGCCACAGAAGTCCGATTAATTCCTCGAACCCTGCCACGCTGGGTTTGTTTTTCCCGCGAAACGTGCACGTGTTTCTGCGGGGCCGGAAGTGCCGGAGAGGCGGCTGCGGTTGCCTCGCCTCCATGGCGGCGGCCTTGGGAATGTGGTCGTCTCCCCGCTGCCTCTTCCCTGCTCCCCCGCCCCCGCTCCTGACCCGTTCCTTTTCCCTCTTGCAGGCCGCCAAAAGATCGAAGACTGATGGCTGCTCGCCGCGATCTCCCCCGCTTAGCCCGGAACTGGTGGAGCGCATCCGCAAAAACAAAGAGGTGGCGTTGCAGAAGCTCGCAGCCCGCACCGCCAGCTACATTCCCGCGGAGCTGGGGCAGAGCTGGAGGGTCTCCCTGGCCAAAGAGTTCTCCAAACCGTATTTTGCTCAGGTGGGCGAGAAGCCAGGACTTTTGCGAAGGGATCAGGTCCCCCCCATCCCCATTTTCTTGGCTTTGAGGTCTTAGTCCAGCTAATTAAAGAGAAGCGGTGCTTGTTAATTATTGAGGGTGAAATTTAGCCTGTTCCTGCTGATGATACAAGGTTAGACAAGTGCTTTTAGCTCAGCAGTCCATCCTCAAAGGCTACCACACCACTAGGTCAGTTGCTTTTTAAAGCTGTTGGTTTGTAGACCTTTTTTAATGGTGCTGAACGTTTTAAGAGCCATGTTTTGATAAAATCTGAGATGACTGGGTATGACACTAATTCATTTCCACAGTAATTCATTTCCAGCAGAATTTGGGATGAGAGTACTGAACACCATCAGGGGGCAAAGACTGTTTTGGTGCATGTTATGGAATGTCATGTCTCCTTAGTTTGTTATGACCTTTAGTTGAGCTCCAGGTCAATTTTTCTCCTCTTTATATAGCTGATGGCATTTGTTGCTGAAGAACGCAAGCGCTGTACAGTTTATCCACCCCAGCATCAGGTCTTCACTTGGACCCAGCTGTGTGACATCCATGATGTAAGTCAACCTGTTGCAACTAGTCTGTATTTATCCTCTTGTTCCTTTATGAATGGGTGGTGTTATCTTTGGGTGTTTACCCTTGGTTATTAGCTGGGTTCACCTGACACAGGTAGCCATTGTGATTTTTTTTCAGTCATTCATGTTTAAGCAAACCCTGCCTTAATGCAACTCAGCTTTGTAACTCATAATGCCTGTCACCCTGACTAGTCTCTCTGTATTTTATGTAATGCCATTTGCTGCTTTTTCGGAATACTACTAAGAAAAAGAATTTTCTGTCTCATCAAATAGAAGCATAAATCTAGACAAAAATTATCTGAGAACAGAAATAACGAATGTGGAGTGTTTGAGTATTTTCTGCTCTTGCTTTCAGGTGAAAGTTGTCATTTTGGGCCAAGATCCATATCACGGGCCCAATCAAGCTCACGGGCTCTGCTTCAGCGTCCAGAGACCGGTTCCCCCTCCACCCAGGTAGGCTCAGCTGTGGCCACGTTCTGTTAGGTTCAGGGGCTGTACATTTCCACCCCAGGCCACCCCAATGATGCCCTTGACGTGATGGCCCGGTGTCTGGAGGCCGTACGGGTCTGGATGGGGAGAAACAGACTCAGGCTCAACCCTTCCAAGACTGAGTGGTTGTGGTTGCCGGCTCCCAGGTATGGTCAGCTGATTCCATTGCTGACTATAGGGGGCGAAACCTTGGCCCCCTCGGAGAGGGTTCGCAACTTGGGGGTCCTCCTGGACCCACGGCTGACACTGGACGACCAGTTGGCGGCTGTGGCCAGGGGGGCGTTTTACCGGGTACGCCTGGTGCACCAGTTGCGGCCTTTTCTAGACCGGGATGCCTTGCGCACAGTCACTCATGCTCTTGTCACC